GGATGCTCTATCCCCTTTAAAAACTGGATTTTTGGACTTCTCAAATGATGTAGTTCCTCTTAAAAATGGGTCATTTTGGAGGGTCAGTTGTCCTTTAAAACAAAGACGCCAATGAAAAAAAAATCAGACCATATAATTCAGTAAGAGGGGGACTAAAAAGGGAGGAACTAATAACCCCTGCTGACTGATCTTTCAAGGTCCGACTTCATCAGTTGCCACGTCGATTAGGCAACTGGAGCCAAATTTAATCGTATGCCAATGAAGGTCGTTAAATGATCGGAATAAAAGTCTTTTATGAGCGGTTTTGACTACTATCGACTCTGACACATAACAGCACCGTAAGCCTTTGACTCAGTGGGAAATGCATGGCACATGATGCAGGAAGCTGGTGTTCATAAGATGGTCATTGCGACACTGTGCAAACTCTGACAATACCTTGATTCATAGAGGAAACACGCGTTATACACACAATTTGAATATTTTGATTTGCCTAAGATTTAACACGCACCGGACAACGACAGGCAAAGTGAAAAATCGCCCTCAGCTCATCGCCGTCTATAAATGAGAAAGCGCTTATAATAGACCCTTTCACGGTTTCCGACGCCATATATTGTTTGGGGTGCAAAATTCAACTAAGGAGCGTAGGGGAAAGAGATACTTTTTTCGTTATATTTCCTTTCTGAGGTAAATTTTCGAGACCAAACTTTTTCTGTGGATGGAGAATCTTCTGTTCAATGTTTTGTGATGTTTTTGAGCCGATCGAGTCATTCTTGTCGAGGCAAGATTTTTCTTACGATCAAATTGAACCAGTATGATCGCAAAACCCAAAGCCTCGATCCATCTCTCTAAGCACCAGTGTTATGCTGGCTCCATCGGCTCAAAAACAGCACACAAAATATTGAACAGAGGATTCTCCATCTACAGCCGGAAAAAGTTTGGTCTCGAAAATTTACCTCAGAAAGGAAATATAACGAAAAACGTATCTCTTTCCACTACGCTCCTTAGTAATTTTGCCCCCCAAGCAATATGGCGTCGGAAACCGTGAAAGGGTCTATTTTGAAAAAAAAATTTTTTGTCATTAGGCAGTTTATACTTTTGTTATTCAAAAACAGCTTTCACTCGAGGTCTCGTTTCCTCGGATACCGAACACCGACTCGAGTTCGAAGAGATGTGGTATTACATCATGTATCAGATTCTGACCTTGGCCGCCTTTCTTGATCATGCGATTCATTCCCCATTGATTAATGTAAGCAAGTCAGTCAAATACTCAGCGGTAGTGAAGTCTAGTGGATCCCACACCAATATCACTCTATATTATTATTAACCTTCTGACAATGAGTTCCTGTATTACCCACTAGTGTGCAGAGAACACTTACTTTTTGCGGCGAAAAAGGACCACCTAAAGTTGATACAAGACAAGGAACAGTTCCTTAGGCTGTGTTCATAATGTATGGCAGAGGGTGGGGGTGGGGCAGGTGAAAATTTGAAATGTCCAGAATAATTCTTAATACCCCCTTAAAGTCATGCAAAGAAAATACGATCCCCCCGAAGCAAGGCTTGTAGCTCCTTCAACAATTGTGCATCACCCCATTTTTCTGATAAAAATTAGCCCATCCCCCCCCCCNCCCCCCCCCCCTTTTTCCTACCAAAAATTTCCCGATCCCCCTCAATTTCACCTGCCCCTCCTCTGCCATACATTATGAACACAGCCTTAGTGAGAGTTGTCCGTAACTGACCAGCATTTATGAAGATTGTGACCCTGAGCTGAATACAATATTAGTAAGCCATGGACAAAACGGAAAAATGGGAAGAAAGGAAGAAAGAATGATTAAAAAGAGAGAAGGGACAAAGGAAAAAAAGAAAGAAAAAAGAACAAAGAAAGCAAAGAAAGAAGGCAAATTAACGAAAAGCCGACAAAAGCCATAACTTCTTATTGTCGTAGTCTTTTTTAAGAAAAAAAATACTAGCAACATACTTATTTTTCATCAAATTTACAGGAAAAATTCAAAATTTATGTTAGATTTATATTACTATTCCTTTCCAACTTTCTTAGAATTATATTCTTTGGGTTTCCTGTGGTATGAAAATGCGCGGGAAAATAGTCTCCCATGATGCATTTGTTTACATGATGACGTAATCCCAGGCAGCGCGGTGCTCGCACAACAACATCGTGTGACATGCTGAAGCTTCGCTAAAACAGTATTAAAAATATGGCTTTTGCTTCCAGAAATATCGAAATTATTGACAGCGATGATGACGAACTTGACCATGAAGTATGCTTCGGTGAATATCGAGGAGAGATCGTTGGTATTCGATACTATAGCGGTACAGTTAACCGAGGAGAAATGGTTTCACTCAACAGAGAGCCTCACAACCCTTACGACAACAATGCCATAAGAGTCGACAATGTTTTCGGTGTACAAGTTGGTCATATCAAGAGAACCTTGGCTATGCCTTTGGCTAGTGTGATTGATAGACGCTTAGTACGTCTGGAGGGGTAAGAATGATCTCAAAATCTCCACCGATGTTTTGAGTTTAGCTGTTACGAATTTTTCCTGTGATCATTAAAGTTGCCATCTTCAGGAAATGCGCCAGTAATATGATATGTTGACAGGACGTGAAAAAGAATTTCATGAATCTTTTAATGTAGGAAACTAAGCGGATCGAGAGCCTGAGAATTTGACATTTTAAATGTATATATATATATATATGAGCATTTTTATGAATATGGGACTCCAAATGTTTCCCAGATTTACAGTACCCCCCATCCTGATCTTTTGACGTACCATTTAAAAATATACTTTATATAAACTTAGGGAAACATAGCTAGGGCAATGTCTACTATGCCACATCTCTGTGAGTGAGGTTCCATGGTTTTTCTCCCATGCCAGATATGGTTGCAGATATGGTAGGATTTTGAGTAGGGGGGTGAAAACCCTGTGACCTCCCCCTGCCACTGAATTTCTTAGATGCGATGCTGTCATGGAAATACAAAAGAAATGCCACTAATTCTATTGAGAAAAAGTGTGATTTCTTTTGTGTTTTCATGTTAGCTTTACATCATCCACAAAAATTCTTAGAGGGTCCATTCAATCATGGTGTGCAGATTTCTTTGCCACAATCAGTTTAAAGTGCCCTAAAAAAGATGGAATAATAATTCCTAAAAAGAAAATCAGTATAAAATTCTGCTATACTGTACAAGTTTAAGCCATTAATTTGAAACTAATTTCTTGATCTTAACATGTGTATTTCAGCACAGTTCCTTATGGTCAAAACAATGTCTATTCCATGCCCTGTGATTTGGCATTCTGGGGTAGACCAGAGAATCAAGAACAAGTTATCCAGATAATGCGCCAGTATGGATTTATACTTCTAAAAGCATATAATAACAAACCAGCACCAAGCAAAGGAGACTATACTAACTACTCCATTCCTACTTCAATCAAGATTTCCCAAGATCAGGTTAATATTTATTTGTTTTATATTAATTATGATTTAATGTGGTCTTCACTTTGTCATTCTAATTTTATTCTAGATGCACAATGAACTAAACAAATTGTTTGATAAAATGGAAGAGATGGACAAGGGTGACAAAACTGCAGCAGAAGTCGAACCAGCGGAGGTAAGAGTATATATATGTATATTAAGTGTGAATGTGTGGGAAAAAATATCCATACCTCTCCCATGCATATGGGAGGATACAGTATGTGTTTTCCTGTGGCAGAATGGGTAAAAGGAAATCTTGAGGGAAGGACTTTGATGCAATATTATGAGCTACCTGTAGTATGTGACTTTCAAAAAGTCTGAATACTGAATACTGCATACTGAATGGTGCATTCCAAGACCGAAGTGCATTGTGGGTCATAGTGACGTTGTCTAAATTAGGATTAATAATAATTATTTATTCTATTTTTAGTGTATTCCATCTGAAACAATATACTGACTACATGTAGAAAGTTAATTGCTGTATATTTACTTTTTATTTCAAATTAACAAGACCCACAATGCCCTTTGGTCTTGGAATGCACTTTTCAGTATGCAGCATTCAGTATTCAACCTTTTTTGAAATAGCTGTATATGTACTCTGCTTTTTATAGAGATTTTAGATGAAAATCTCAGCTCAGATGAAATAGTTAAACACAGATTAATTTAATGTGTCTATTTCTTATCAATCAAATTAAAGGTGATTAAGACAAAGCTATATCCACATCAAAAGCAGTCTTTAGCCTGGATGATCACGAAAGAAAACAACAAAGACCTACCACCATTTTGGGAGGAAAGAACAAAGAATGGTAAAAAGGAGTATTTTAATACAGCTACAAATTATGCGACAACAAAGAGACCATCTTGTGTTAAAGGAGGAATACTTGCAGATGATATGGGTCTTGGGAAAACCTTACAGATCATCTCATTGATCCTTACAAACTTCCATGATGGAAAGCCTCTTGCCACGCTTGAAGACTCTGGAACAGGAATAAATAAGGTTAGTACATAATGATATTATGGAAACCAAAAGTGGTGTAACGGTAGTGCATTTCTGGAGTTGTGAAGCATTAACATGTGAGTAGAGCTTGGTAGGTCTCTCCCTTGATCCAAGAGTTGTTCTCTGGGTTACCCATTTTTCCTCCATGTGAGGTAGCCAAGTTAACTCTGTGAGTAAGTCATGTCCTGACTTAGATTAGCCCAGAGGTTGTTTCAGGGTTCAATCTGTGAGTTAGCCATGCCCTGGTTAAATCAGCCCAGGGTTTGTTTCAGGGTTTGATTTGTGAGTTAGCCATGCCCTGACTTAGATCAACCCAGAGGTTGTTTCAGGGTTTGATCTGTGAGTTAGCGGTGCCCTGACTTAGATCAGCCCAGAGGTTCTTTCACAGAGTTGATAAAATTTGGACAAGGTTTACTTTTGGTGAACCATTTTCTGGAGGAGTACACATAAAAGCAGTTTTAGAAATGTTATCCTCTTAAACTTTGTCTTCTTTTTCTTTAGACATTAAAGCAGAAAGTCAGAAGACCAAGTAAGCATTCTTCAAAGAAAAAATCAACCAGCAAGAAAAAGAACAAAAAAGCTGTAGTAGTTGAGAGCAGTGAGGATGAGGAGATGTCAGACGATAATGATAATGAAGCCATAGGTATTGAAAATTCTAATAAAGTCATGATAGGAAAGACTGATCCTGATTTTAAACCTGTAGCAGAGGTTAATGTGGAAACAGAAAGTACAAATATTAGACGCTCTGCAAGGTAAATCATAAAATGAATACCACAATTTATAAGGGACTAGTCATTATTTGAAGGGGACCTGGTGCAAAATTAGGTAAATGCTATGAACTACCTTTTTCCTGAACCCTCTTTTCGTGAGGTAAACTTTTTTAGTTGAATAAAAAAAAATCCCCCCCCCCCCCCCCCCCCCTCCAATCTAGCTGCATGGTGACCCAACCCCCGAGCCTCTCTCAACCTCTAGCTAACGACCGTACCCTAATGACTCAATTTGTAAAAACAATGAAATTAAAATGCCAATTGGAATTCAATGGATTCACTTWTATATATATATATAGAATGGAAATAGCACAATAACATCTAACCTATTCTTCCATAATGGGCTACCCAAGTGTGTTGCACATTTTCATTGTTTTTTCTGGATTTTGGTTTGTTATTCAGATCCAGGAAGAAACCAGCAAAATACACAGAGGTAGATAGTGATGTGGATGAGGAGGCTGAAACTGTTGCACCATCACCAAAAAAGAAATCCAAGAAAAAGCAGCCGTCAATTAAACATGTTCAGAACACAGGTAAGTAATACTGTAGCACCTATAGACCACCTATTAAGAGGGGGCATAATAGATTTACTTTTTCAGATGCAGGTCTAGGATTTTAAAGGGGGGGGGACATCATTGGATACCCACTGTTCTGATTCCCAACCATCTCACTGAATTTGTGACAGCGAAGCAAATGAAATTAACAAAACAAATAAAATGAAATTCATTACATTGTATTAAAAATTTGCTTTTTTTAGATCACCCTGTTGAAGAACAACAACAAAGTGACTGTCATATCATATTACCACCTTTGCCAAGCTTCGCAAAGGATGATAACTCAGGTTTGAAGAAATCTTTGCATATTTTACATTTCTTTGAGATCAGTTTGTGTGAATGACATGGCACTTGCACACACCATACTTCAAGAGTATTGAGAGGATTAGGAGAAAAAGCAAATTTAAATTTTTTGTTAAATATTGGTACTCATACATTTTTGCTTAATTCTTATCTTATTTGTTTTTGATAAGATGCCAAAGACACTTCTTCATTGTCTGTTGGTGCTATCAATACCTGTTTAACCACAAACAATTCTTCAAAACAAGGATCATCAAAAACTGGCGTAGGATCTACAGCAGGAAAACGGAAGGCAGTGCCAAGTGGTGGTCGCCGTCCAACCTTGGTAGTTTTTCCATTGTCTGTCCTTAGCAGCTGGGAGGTATTTATTGAGGCTCTATGTCATCACATGGTGTATACCAATGACAGGAGGCAGGAACAATTAAATCTGATCTAATCTGGTTTACATGACAAAAAATTCAGTTTCCCAGGGAGAAAAGACTGCTGTTGTGCCTCCTGTCATGGCTGCCACGTGATGGTGCTAAGATTCTATTTGACATTGGGCATAGCCTGCTTGCTTTCTCCCTTCAACTCTCCCTCCCTTCCTTCCTCCCTCCCTCCCTCCCTCCTTCCCTCCCTTTCTTCCTCCCTCACTCCCTTCCTAACTTTCCATCACTTCCTTCTATCCCTCTTCTTTCCTTCCTTGTTATTTTATACCCTCTTAAAACTTGTCATGTGCATAAACAATTACATAGCAAGTCATTGTTACATGTATAACATTAAAAGTAATCTTGATAATATATATTTATTTTTTTTTTTGTTCAATAAAAGAATGAACTAGAGATGCATGTCCATCCTAACCTGATCAACATCTACACCCACTATGGCCAAAACAAAACCAAAGATAAAAAATTTCTTGAAGAACAAGATATTGTACTTACAACGTACCAGAGCTTATCTGCAGAATTCTCAAGGGTTTGTATCAATTTAGAATTTTTCTGTTATCGATAAGTAAACGTTTGCCCAGTTAAACGTTAACTTGGAAAGTTCCTTAATATAAGCTGAAAGTAGCTAGTCCCCCAGATGGAGTAGTTTCACTTCCGGAACTGAGCACAATCTACCCCTCCCTCCATGAGTGCTCCTCTTCAAGATATTTGAAGCCATCGGATGGGTCAGAGAAATCAAAGCAAGTATGTAAGGATCAAACTCCTGCCTCCTTTTAAATTGGGTAGTGCACAGAGCCATGCCCATGTACAGTCCTCAGTTTATTAATTCCTTCACTCCCTCATTCATTTTATTGGGATCATGTCCATTCACATTACAATTATCCATCATGCATTATTAGATTCATTGTTTCAATTGCTCACCACATATTTAGGGCAAATCTCCCTTAAAGGAAGTCAAGTGGTTACGCGTAATTCTGGATGAAGGTCATCTCATCAGGAACCCCAGAGCGCAAATGACCAAAGCAGCTCATGCACTGGACGCTGAGCGTCGATGGATCGTTACTGGAACACCCATCCAGAATTCCATGAAAGACTTGTGGTCCATCATTTGCTTCTTGAGGATGGAGCCTTTCTTGGACCGACAGTGGTGGGTACGAAGTATCGAAAGGCCTATAAGTCAGGGGGACAAGGCAGCATTAGGGTAAGAACTGTCATTTCTTATAGTTTCTTGCTTCAAAAAATATTTTAGTCACTGCATTAAATCAACTTGCCAAAAAAATCTTTTATTTTACTCTCGCCAAAAGTTTTCCAATTTCCAGTTTCTTGCTTCATACAGTACAGCCCAGATGTATATCACGGTGTACACGCGTGTACTCCGTTAACGGAGTACACTCGTACTAGTGTAGTCCGTGCTTTGAGACATAGACGCACTACACGCGTTTGAGTGTAATATTTTTTTGTTATACAGTCTTTGTTTCATAACAAAGACCATAGAAATTCCGTATAAATATCATTTATATTCCACGCGTAGGCGTGTATTCCGTTCAACTGGATTTATGATCCAAACGATTTCAAATCAGAGATATACAAATTGTATTGTTCAACTGGATAAGAGAAACTCAAACGATTTTTTAAAATTTTTTCTTCGAAAACGAAAACCTCTGTAACCTCTAATGTTTGATCAAACAAAGAAATATTAAAGAAAAGCGTAAATTTAAAAAGTTCTGTATTCTTTCATGCGTCTACGCATCAGGTCAAGTATTTCGCGTGCACGCTGGAATGCAACCGAAATAGTCTGCATTTTAATTATCCTGTCCATTTTATTTAAGAAATTTGTCTTTATTTAGATAATTGAGACCAAAGAACAACTGCTTTATTGTTTATCGGATAGTTCTCATAAGTTATATACGTATCTTAGCATCAAAGAATTACTCTTTTATTTGGTCGTCGGACGTAGCCGTCTGAAGTTCTGTGCACGTGAAGCAGCAGTTAGGTGGACTCGCGAAGCGCCGGCATTGCCAAAAATCACAAGTCGAAAAACACCAGGGGGGGGGGGTGGGTTTTTGGAGGTCGGTAACCCGCGGAACAGGGGGTCTTGCGCGATCCGCCGGCAGCGCGAAATGTCCCTAACTGCTGCTCTGTTGGGGTCGCAAATGGAGGGAAAGATATTCTTTAGATATACATGGCATCCGTCAACGACATTCAAAACGAAACTGTGCGCAGGTTGGGAAATCAGGTGATGGATAACTCAGATGCGGATTTCGTCTTTGCGACATTCATGGAGGGGAATACAGACAAGACGATGAATCGCGAGATGGCTGAAAGGATAATCAATAGAATGCCGGACGGCGACTACCGTTTGGAGTTGACGTTCGTGAAGTATTTGGACGGCGAGTGGGTGATAGAAAAGGGCCGTAATCCCATCAGGGCGTCTGGCAAGCAGAGTTTGTTCCTCTTGAATAAGCATACGAGACCAGGGGCATTGGAGGGAATTGACATGCTCTTCTATGAGGTCGCTTACCCGGTTACCGTGGTCATTTACGGCGCGTACGAGATTAAGGAGCCGGATGTTAAGAAGTTGCGACCAATGCGACATCC